AAAATGTAAATTAAATGTATTTAATTTTGAGTAATTTGGGCACATTTGGCCTATTCATTATTCATTAATTGAATCGAGTAATTTTACCTTTAACATTTAAGTAATTTTAAGAAATAATATTTGATTAACCATTTCTGTTCGATTTTCAGCTTCAGTTTCTGTTCAACAGAAATCGTAGGCTAGTTTATAATAGAAATACATTTACAAGTCAACTTAAAAGCGCAAGTTAACAATTCTTTCTGTAGCCAGAAAATTGCCATTGATCGTTGTTATACTACTGTTGATAATATATTAAATATATTTAGCTCTCGAATGTTGATTTAAATTCCTTCAAATTGAATTTAATGGTTGAGTATGATTTGTTATAAGTTATAAACCGGAGAGTTCCGGTCCTTGATTCTGATTGGCTGAGCCGCGTTCGAAGCTGTTGTATATTACTCTACAAACACACACCTTTGTTTACTTCTGTGTGTTGGTCGGCGACCACTTTGTTGGAACCACAACTGTTTCTGAGGAGCTACATTGTTTGGTGGAAGAATACTGTTTTTGTTAATATCATTACACTTTATTTGCTCTGTTTTATTTTGTGAAACCTTACTACGTATATGGAATAACCGTTTTATAAAAGCAATAACCCCCGTGAAGCCGTGGTTTACAGTGAATTTATAACAGCTGAGGGGGTTTTAGGCACGATGCTGTTATAAATTCACTGTAAACCACGGCTTCTTGGGGCTTATTGCTTTATTCCAGCTGTAATGCGGCTGCCATCGGTGTGGGGGAGTAACTAGTTACATGTAACAGAATTATGTAATTTAATTACAAAATAAATGTAACTGTAATCTGTTACAGTTACTGAGAAGAAAAAAAAGTGTAATTCAATTACAGTCACTTATGAAGATGGTAACGAATCTATCTTATGATTTTAAATCTGTTAACCTCAGACCGATCTCAAAGTAAAAAGAGGTGCTAAAGTTTGATTTTGTGGTGGCTGTGCTTTAAAATTCAATTATTATAATCTTAATCCAAGTGATGAAGTATTTTGAAAGTCTGACAGTAATCAGTGTTGAGTTCTACAACATCTTAACATGTTTGAAAATGATCAACAGTTGAAAACATTCATTAGAAATCCAAAAAAGTAATCAAAATGTAATCAGTTACAGTACTTTAATAAAGTAATTGAAATAGTTACACTACTTATTACATGTATGCAGGGTAACTTGTAATCTGTAACAAAAGTAACCTTCCCATCTGTTGTTTGTTTGAGGAACAGCGAGCACAAATTTACGATGGTTTGAGTGAAATGCGTTTAGTTTTTTTCCTCAAACACCCGAGTTCAGTATGGAGGACGAAACCTGCAAAAACAATAAATAAATAAATACGCAAATATATAAATAAATGTGTGCATAAATACACATATTATTTTTTAAATGCATAAATAAATAATGAATCATGTGATGAAAGTAGACAAATAAATAATATAAATTGGTGGGCAAATGGAAAATGTTTAAGGAAATGCTAAACTCATCCTAACTATTTTCCTTTGATCACTCATTTATTTCTGAATCTAGTTCCACATTTTTTTCCCCTCTGCGCAACATGCTAATGAGAGGGTGTCAATTATGCAAGAGTAGGCGGATCGTGTGTGACGCGCTTGAGCGTTTGCCTGCGCATGCGTATTAACTTCATCAGTCAAGGGGACTGATTATTATCTTACACTTTTTCATAGGGCTAGTTTGTAGTTATAATCATGAGAGAGCTAAATCATAAAAGATTTTAAGTGGCCAATGTAAAATATTAATGCTTACATAGCTCTTAATTGCAATACTGAACCGTTATTTGCTTAATAAACATACTTTTGTCGCTTGTATTTTCTGTTCTGATAACTAATGGGAAAAAACGGTCTTTTCCTCAATTAAACCACTTCATACCAGTCATCTCACGATGACCATGGGATACTGATATTACAGTTGTCTCTACCTGGAGATTCAATCGGGTTACAAAAAATGACGTCAGGAAACGACACTGGCCGTTTCTTTGGGTCGTTTGTAAAGTCACAGATACTGTACGGACAATACAGCTCAGTTTTTTATGTATCTTGCTCAACATTATTCGTGAATTCTTTCCTCCAAGCTAAAGTTCAATGCACAGCAGTTCGACATCTAAAAGGCAAATCCGATTCCTCCAATCAGGAGGCGGCAGTAATTGTGTTTGAACGATACATTTCAAGTTGAGAAAAAGAGAGTGAGAATAAGCTGTCGTCTGATTGGCTGATATGTGTGTAGTGGGCGGAGTTAGGTGATCTGACAGATGATTGACAGCAGCGCACAGCTATTACGTTGCGTCAGGGTTATGGCTGCTGCGATCAGACTTCTCTCGCCCTGGAGCTTTTACCGATTCGCCCGGTAAGAGAGATCTTATTAGAGATACAATATGTGTAACGTTTGAACAGTTTCTAGATGCACGACATTATCATCTCCATATTGCTCTGGACATCATGTGCTTGACAGAGACACCTTGAGCTTGCACTGACCTTCACTCTACATCATGGTGTCTGTCAGATCCTCAGCTCTCACACACTTCACACACAACACCCTCTCATTCATGCTTTCACATAAAAGCACATGTCGGGACACCGAATTGTAACATGTTTCTGGTATGTGTCCAGAGCGAGTAAAGCTGTGTGTGCTCAGCTGCACAGCTCTGCGGCAGTCATGGGAGCATCAGTAGAAGAGTTCAACGCGGCCAAAGAGAAACTAGGAGCTCTGAAGAAGGATCCAGGGAATGAAGTCAAACTCAAGGTCTATGCACTCTTCAAACAGGTGAGAAATGATCAATATAACCAGTGCTGGGGAGTAGCTAGTTACATGTAGCGGAATTGTGTAATTTAATTACAAATGTAACTGTAATCTGTTACTGAGAATTTTTTGGTAACACTTTATTTGAAGGGGTGTGCATAAGACTGACATGACACCTTCATAATCATGACATGACATCTACATAATCATGACATGACATATGTCATGAATATGAAGGAGGTGTTATGCATGTTTATGACAACTGTCATTAAGTGTCATTCGCTCAGTTATGTCATTTTTAATGCAAATATGACCTAATATTATTTGACCTACCCCTAACCATAGCCCATAACAAAGACATCTCAAACAATGTCATCTTTGCATTGTAGATTCTTTGCATTATTGATGCCAGTGTTTCCTATAATTAGCTATCCTATAATTCAGATTTGATTTCAAAAACGACATCAAATATTAAACTATATCATATGATTTTAAATCTGTATTTAACCTCAGATCAACCCCAAAGTAAAAAGAGGTGCTAAAGTTTGATTTTGTGGTGGCTGTGCTTTAAAATTCAATTATTATAATCTTAATCCAAGTGATGGAAGTATTTTGAAAGTCTGACAGTAATCAGTGTTGAGTTCTACTGTAAGGTTAACCCTGCCTGCTTTACATGTTTCAAAATGATCAACCGTTTCGGGGGGAAAAAAGAGAAAATTAAATTTAGAAAAGTAATCAAATGCAATCAGTTATATTGTTGAAATAGTTACTTATTACATTTTAAATAGGGTTAATTGTAATCTGTAACCTATTACATTTCCAAAGTAACCTCCCCAACACTACCAATAACTTATTGCTCTGGACTAGGGTTGTGCGATATTGACAAAAAAATATTAACCTGATATTTTCTGGGATTTTATCGATAATGATAATTAGATTATATTTTGCTGAGTGTGTTATTGTGCTGGTCTCTTAAAGGGATAGTTCACCCAAAAATGAAAATGTGATGTTTATCTGCTTACCCCCAGGGCATCCAAGATGTAGGTGACTGTTTCTTCAGTAGAACACAAATTATGATTTTTAACTCCAACCGTTGCAGTCTATCAGTCGTATAATGCATGGCAATGGTAACAAAATCTATGAGAATAAAAAAAATTAAGCCCTGCGGCTCGTGACGACACATTGATGTCCTAAGACACGAAACGATCGGTTTGTGCCAGAAACCGAACAGTATTTATATCATATTTTACCTCTAATACACCACTATGTCCAACTGTCTTTGTGTGCGCGCACGGCTTCCGGTGCGTGTGGTGTGTACGCGCTCTGGCGTAGTTTACGTTAATGGGTGTGTTGATATCCAGCCGAAGAGCAATCAACCATAACTTCAGGCAAGCAGGCTCAGAAGTTGGGAATACGTGGAAAGTCACCATATAACTTGCATGCTCATGCTCATAAGCAATAGAAGGATTGTTATTTTAATATTTATATTTATATATTGTTATGTTTTTTTATGTGCTGTTATTTTTTTGTAAACACTTTTTTTTATTTATCTTGATTTTTATTTCAGTTATAGTTTTAATAATTGTAGTACTTCAAATTAAACTTTATTTTAGTTAGTTGTGACTTTTCATTTTCCTTTTAAGTTTACGTTCATCTATCTTACTAATATCTTACTTTATTTCAGCCTTATTTAAATTGCTGAAAACAGGTTTGGATTTGAAAATAAATGGGCCACAGGGTTTCATTCAGGTCTCAGGACAAGGTTTAGGCTTTAACCTAATAGTTTTGCAGACCTCTAAATAAAGAGCTAGCATGTACCGAGCACAGTGTATGTGTCCAGCATACATCTAGTGTTTTATGTGGTAATGTGATTGTGTTAGGAAGAGGCCAGGCAGCAGTACGTGGATCTCATCTCGTCTCTGGTGGGAACAGAAGCTCCCACGGTGGCAGCGCAGCCCACCGGGAGCACAAAGGGCTTCCAGACCCTGCTGGTCAGCACAGAGGACAACATCACCACCATCCGGCTCAACAGACCCGAGAAAAAGAACGCCATCACTGTGGAGGTGAAGAAGTTGCTTTGGATAATTGTTTTTTTTTTCACATTTTGAAGGCTCAAAACGAATAGTTTAATCATGACAAAACTCTGAAGATTTTAGCCTGGGGATGGATATGACAATGTTAATGTATTTGGTCTTGGCGGAACAGATCTGCTACGCTGCTGCTGAATTGCTGCTGCTGCTGGTTATTGCTGTAGTTGTAGATTATTGCTGCTGCTGCTGCAAGCAAGTACAGGAACTTGCTGCTGCCAATGCATACGGCGATACGGTGCCATGAGTATTTAAGACATACTGCTGCTGCACAAATAGCATATAAAATAACCCGTAGCAGATCTATACAGGTGGAGCTGGGGAAGGTGGAGGGTTTCAGAGAAACTCTGAACGCGCGCTGCAGGAATCTCAAGTGAATGCTAGCCAGCCATATAAATGCAAGGCAGTAAGCTCATTGGCTGCATATGCAGCATGAACCAATCAGCTTGTGACAAGTCGTTGAACTCTGAATATCATCAGTTACGTTAACCATCAACCTGCGCCATCTAGAGTTTCATGACTAAACTATATATTTATGTAGGATGTCAGTTTTGTAGGACAGTGGTCAATTTTAAATAAATATTCGACCAGAGAATGCCAAGACTGACACAAACTATGAGCCAGTGTTGTTTTAGTATTATTTATATGCTATAACTGTATTAATGTTTTAATGGTTTTATTGTTATATTTTAATTCTAATAAGTTTTAGCAATTTAGTCATATGTATTTGCCATTATTCTTTTTTATATATATTTCTCCTTAGCTTTATTTTTATATCAGTTTTCATTTTAGTACTTCACGTTTTTTTTTTTTTTTTTGCTCATTTTTTAAGTTTAATTGATCTTTTCCATCCAGTTTTATTTCAGCTTAATTTGAAATAACAGAAACTTTTAAAAGAAGTTAAGTTTTAGTTTACAGTAGCAACACTGATGGTTAGACATTTTTAGAAAATATTCTTTCATGTTTTTGCATCCTGTAGATGTACAATGAGCTAATCGAAGCTTTGGATCTTGCTGGCAAAGACGATTCTGTCATTACAGTGATAACAGGTGAAGTACTCTGCTTTAGCTTTCAGTGTGTGCAGATATACCTCTGTAAATCAATGTGCTTATCCTCTTTTTAATGTCTCTGAAGGTAGTGGAGATTATTACTGCAGTGGAAACGACCTGAACAACTTTGCAAAGATCCCTGAGGGTGGAGTTGAGAAGTTGGCTAAAGAATCTGGGGAGTTACTGAGGTGTCTATTTTAAGTCTATTAAGTCTATTTTGCTTGATTCTAAACCAGTTTATAGTATTTTTGAGATTGATGGGAAGTTATGAGTTATGATGGACGTATGTGTGCTTGTGTTATTTTAGGAGGTATGTAAAGGTGTACATTGACTTCCCCAAACCTCTGATTGGAGTCATAAATGGACCGGCGGTGGGGGTGTCAGTCACTCTGCTGGGACTTTTTGATGTTGTGTATGCCACAGAGAAGGTGAGCTGCTTTCTTACAGCATATCAGTGATCCATCATGTCTTGTCTGTTTAATTATATCTATATATTTGCATGTATTTTGGCTTTTTGTCCCTTTGTTTTGTGTGTAGGCAACGTTTCACACACCCTTCAGTCAGCTGGGTCAGAGTCCAGAGGGCTGCTCTTCATATCTTTTCCCCAAAATTATGGGTGCGGCAAAGGTATGAACATCTGCTGAAATTTGAGATTAATCAGTTTATTATAAAAAAAAATATCACAATGATAATCACAGTACAATTTTTTTATCAGCTAACAGCACTAATATACATACAGTGGACTACATTATATGGGAAAAAAATCTAATTGCAGTTTTTCTGCTAAAAATTCTGATTGCAATTAAAAAAAAAAGTTCCAGGTTTGCTGTACTTATTTGTAGGGCAGAAAACTTTGGCCAGAAATGTTGTGATTTATATAATAACATGACTATAAAATGATTATAATAATAATAAATATTTGTTTTATTATAAATGCTATTGCTAAATAAAAATATTACACAACATAAATAAATATGCTTTTCAATATTTCACCATTAAAAAAAAAAAAAGAATAATAATACAGTGAACAATTTTATTTTATAATACAACTGCGAATTTACAATACAAATATATAATATTTATATATGTCTTAATTGCTTCATTTTCAAATGTTAAACCATCAAGCTTTTATTTTGGAGGAATTTTTTTGTTTATAAGGGTACTTTCACACCTGTAGATCGATTGCTTTGTTCCGAAACATGGATTAAAATTATTACAATGTTGCTTTTTATTCTTGGTGTGGTTCGCTTTCACACGGTAAAGTTTCTAAACGGACCAAAATTGTTAATACAAGTCACGTGCGAGTAAACTATCCTCTGACTGGTCAAAGTTCCACGGTTTATTTTCAGGAATTCCGCTCATAGCTGTCATCCGTCATGATGGAAAGACAACAGCTTCGTGGGCTTATTGTTGTTGTTTTTTCTATCCGTCATTATAAAATGAAAACGGTGCTGTTTGATTTTGAATGGCGAAGACGTGCTCACCCACAGATATCGTCTACTGTTTTTCACGGAACTTACGTAACCAACTGGTTCGTTGGTCCTTTGGATCGGATTGCTTTCTCACTACAACCGAACCGCTCCAGAGTTTGTTTTCAGTCGAGCCGAGACCACCTCGTACAAGCGACCGCGGACCGATTGTTTTGGCTCGGATCTGAGCGCGATTGCCATGTTCACATATGCCCAAACAAACCGAGCTAAAGGGAAACATGCCAGGTTCCGACACAACGGGCCAGGTGTGAAAGCACCCTAAGTGATTAGAATTTAAGTAAGTCATTTGTATGTTGACTTAACAAAATAGTGTAAACACTGAGTTGCAATCAAATCATTGCTCTGGTTGGACATACAGACCAGCCCTGCTCAGCAACAGGTCAACCAATGACGTGAAATGGGCCGGGGCTATCTGTTCGGCCAACCAATTGCAGACTGTGGAAAAGCATTTGGGGAAACCTGTTTAAAAACAGTCATTAATATTTTTGATTTCTTTGGTGGCACTAATGGCACAGAAATGTCACACTTCGCCTTCAGTTCTGTTAAAGGGTTAGTTCACCCTAAAATTAATTTTAATTAAGTTTTACTCACCCCTGAGACATCCTAGTTGTATATGACTTTCTTCTTTCAGACGAATCCAGTCGGAGTTATATTAAAAATTGTCCTGGCTATTCCAAGCTCTATCTTTGCAGTCAGCGGGTGTTGCAGTGCTTCAGTCCAAAAGAACATTATATGGGAAAAAAATCTAATTGCAGTTTTTCTGCTAAAAATTCTGATTGCAATAAAAAAAAAAAGTTCCAGGTTTGCTGTACTTATTTGTAGGGCAGAAAACTTTGGCCAGAAATGTTGTGATTTATATAATAACATGATTATAATAATAATAAATATTTGTTTTATTATAAATGCTATTGCTAAATAAAAATATTACACAACATAAATAAATATGCTTTTCAACATTTCACCATTAAAAAAAAAAAAAGAATAATAATACAGTGAACAATTTTATTTTATAATACAACTGCGAATTTACAATACAAATATATAATTTTTATATATGTCTTAATTGCTTCATTTTCAAATGTTAAACCATCAAGCTTTTATTTTGGAGGAATTTTTTTGTTTATAAGGGTACTTTCACACCTGTAGATCGATTGCTTTGTTCCGAAACATGGATTAAAATTATTACAATGTTGCTTTTTATTCTTGGTGTGGTTCGCTTTCACACGGTAAAGTTTCTAAACGGACCAAAATTGTTAATACAAGTCACATGCGAGTAAACTATCTTCTGACTGGTCAAAGTTCCACGGTTTATTTTCAGGAATTCCGCTCATAGCTGTCATCCGTCATGATGGAAAGACAACAGCTTCGAGGGCTTATTGTTGTTGTTTTTTCTATCCGTCATTATAAAATGAAAACGGCGCTGTTTGATTTTGAATGGTGAAGACGTGCTCACCCACAGATATCGTCTACTGCTTTTCACGGAACTTACGTAACCAACTGGTTTGTTGGTCCTTTGGATCGGATTGCTTTCTCACTACAACCGAACCGCTCCAGAGTTTGTTTTCAGTCGAGCCGAGACCACCTCGTACAAGCGACCGCGGACCGATTGTTTTGGCTCGGATCTGAGCGCGATTGCCATGTTCACATATGCCCAAACAAACCGAGCTAAAGGGAAACGTGCCAGGTTCCGAAACAACGGGCCAGGTGTGAAAGCACCCTAAGTGATTAGAATTTAAGTAAGTCATTTGTATGTTGACTTAACAAAATAGTGTAAACACTGAGTTGCAATCAAATCATTGCTCTGGTTGGACATACAGACCAGCCCTGCTCAGCAACAGGTCAACCAATGACGTGAAATGGGCCGGGGCTATCTGTTCGGCCAACCAATTGCAGACTGTGGAAAAGCATTTGGGGAAACCTGTTTAAAAACAGTCATTAATATTTTTGATTTCTTTGGTGGCACTAATGGCACAGAAATGTCACACTTCGCCTTCAGTTCTGTTAAAGGGTTAGTTCACCCTAAAATTAATTTTAATTAAGTTTTACTCACCCCTGAGACATCCTAGTTGTATATGACTTTCTTCTTTCAGACGAATCCAGTCGGAGTTATATTAAAAATTGTCCTGGCTATTCCAAGCTCTATCTTTGCAGTCAGCGGGTGTTGCAGTGCTTCAGTCCAAAAGAAGTTAAATAAAAAGCGCCCATCCATAAAAAAAAAAGTGTCTCACACGGCTCCGGGGGGTGAACAAAGGTCTCCTGTAGCGAATCGATGCGTTTTTGTAAGAAAAATATCCATATTCAAAATGTAATAATCATTTTAATGTAGCTTGCGTTCACTGTTGTACACTGGAAGCAGATCCGGACGTATGAGTTCAGCGTTGCGCATGCGCCGGTGAGTCTCGTGAAAACCAACGTTTGTTAACAGGAGCAAAGGAAGCAAAGTTTCCTTACTTTAGCAAAGGAAAACCAGTCTCCTCTTGGCTTATATATCGAAATTCTCCGACATTCTTCTTTACAAATCCTCATTTTGGACTTCTAATTAGTGACCGTTGTTTTGTTTTGATCTCCGCTGCATTTCCGCGTGCGTCACTTCTGAGCGGCTCAGATATACTCCGAGATGTTCTTTAGAGGCTGTTTGTCCTCTCTGTTCAGGCTAGCGAGATGCTGTTGTTTAATAAGAAGCTGACGGCCACACAGGCCTGTGAAGTGGGTCTGGTGACCGAGGTCTTTCCTGAAAGCTCCTTCCAGTCCGAGGTGTGGACCAGACTGAAGGCCTATGCCAAACTGCCCAGGAACGTAAGTGCTCAGGCTGCTTGAATTGTGATGTACTAGTGTTAAAAATTAGTCTTATTATCATTCTCAGATAAACGGATCTTGTTGCATGAAAACAAATGCTAATCATGGTCGTTTTCTCGTACCTCTTCAGTCTCTGGCTCTGTCGAAGCAGCTGATCCGCGTGGTGGAGAAAGAGAAGCTTCACGCCGTGAACGACGCAGAGGTGGAGAGACTGGTGGAGCGCTGGCTCTCAGATGAATGCATGCAGGCCATCATGAGCTTCTTCCAGGCCAAGTCTAAACTTTGAGAAGAGCCCATGGAGCCATTCAACATACAGTCTCTTCCCAAAATGACCTTTCTTTTGCAATAGATTTTCCAATTAACCCTATATCCTACAAACAACAGAAAAGAATCACCCAACTCATCTAAACAGTGGATTGTATAGGATTTGTATAGCATTGGATGGTGTATACATAACATGAGACCTTTTATTTAGTCATTCTGTCATAACAGTTTAATTGGACAACCATGTAATATAGTGTTTTGGAACAAAATGAACCGTCTGTTCCATTTACTGTACCAGACGTGCACTTAGTAGGTTGTAACACTCAGTGCCTTACTAATGTGAATGCATTTGTGTTTTTTTATCTGAGGGCCAAAAATCAGTATACTCCGTTTCAGATGTATCAATACATTAAATAATTTGTATAGTCTTTTGACATTTTGTCCTGAATACAGTTTTAATACCTACTTAAATACAACCTGTGAGTGTCTTGTTTTATATATTTCATTTATTTATATGTAAGGGATAATTAACGGTTTGCTGTGCATTAAAGGATTTTAAATGCATGATGTGGAGGCCAAGAACCACCCGACGTGAAGTGCATTTAATGCACGGTAAACCGTTGATAATCCCGCTTATTCCATGGTCATTTGCCAAGTTATAGACAAGTTAAAACTAGTACTTTGCAGCGCAATATTTGACCGGAAGGGTAAAAATGACGGTTGTTTTTGTCAATTACGGCTGGTTAGCTCTAGCATTCTGCCAGCTTCAAATCAGACACAGAGATTAAATAGTGAGGTAAGATCATATTTATTTGAATTAATTATAGCATTTATTTCAATTAATTATCGATCGAGAGAGAGAGAAAGATGACGGTTGTGTGTGCGTTATAGCCAGTTATATTCAGGCTAGCGAGATGCTGTTGTTTAATAAGAAGCTGACGGCCACACAGGCCTGTGAAGTGGGTCTGGTGACCGAGGTCTTTCCTGAAAGCTCCTTCCAGTCCGAGGTGTGGACCAGACTGAAGGCCTATGCCAAACTGCCCAGGAACGTAAGTGCTCAGGCTGCTTGAATTGTGATGTACTAGTGTTAAAAATTAGTCTTATTATCATTCTCAGATAAACGGATCTTGTTGCATGAAAACAAATGCTAATCATGGTCGTTTTCTCGTACCTCTTCAGTCTCTGGCTCTGTCGAAGCAGCTGATCCGCGTGGTGGAGAAAGAGAAGCTTCACGCCGTGAACGACGCAGAGGTGGAGAGACTGGTGGAGCGCTGGCTCTCAGATGAATGCATGCAGGCCATCATGAGCTTCTTCCAGGCCAAGTCTAAACTTTGAGAAGAGCCCATGGAGCCATTCAACATACAGTCTCTTCCCAAAATGACCTTTCTTTTGCAATAGATTTTCCAATTAACCCTATATCCTACAAACAACAGAAAAGAATCACCCAACTCATCTAAACAGTGGATTGTATAGGATTTGTATAGCATTGGATGATGTATACATAACATGAGACCTTTTATTTAGTCATTCTGTCATAACAGTTTAATTGGACAACCATGTAATATAGTGTTTTGGAACAAAATGAACCGTCTGTTCCATTTACTGTACCAGACGTGCACTTAGTAGGTTGTAACACTCAGTGCCTTACTAATGTGAATGCATTTGTGTTTTTTTATCTGAGGGCCAAAAATCAGTATACTCCGTTTCAGATGTATCAATACATTAAATAATTTGTATAGTCTTTTGACATTTTGTCCTGAATACAGTTTTAATACCTACTTAAATACAACCTGTGAGTGTCTTGTTTTATATATTTCATTTATTTATATGTAAGGGATAATTAACGGTTTGCTGTGCATTAAAGGATTTTAAATGCATGATGTGGAGGCCAAGAACCACCCGACGTGAAGTGCATTTAATGCACGGTAAACCGTTGATAATCCCGCTTATTCCATGGTCATTTGCCAAGTTATAGACAAGTTAAAACTAGTACTTTGCAGCGCAATATTTGACCGGAAGGGTAAAAATTACGGTTGTTTTTGTCAATTACGGCTGGTTAGCTCTAGCATTCTGCCAGCTTCAAATCAGACACAGATTAAATAGTGAGGTAAGATCATATTTATTTGAATTAATTATAGCATTTATTTCAATTACTTATCGATCGAGAGAGAAAGATGACGGTTGTGTGTGCGTTATAGCCAGTTATATCTGCCAGCCAATCAGAATCCAGTATTCAGACAGACATATATATATATATAAATATATATATATATATAATTTATTATTTTTTTTGTTTGTTTTTTCAGTGCTGGGTAGTAACTTATTACATCTGGATTATGTAATAAGATTCCAAAATACATGTTATTAGATTATTTTACATTTTTTTATATTTGTAATCAGACTACAGTTACTTTTTATTGATTACATGATTACATAATATTCACACAAAAGCAATAAATTATTCATTATTTATTCATTCTCCATAAATCATATTTTTTCATTAAACTCACAAACCCCCAGCAGTTCCTTCACGAGTTCCAGTTTAGGAAACCTTGATGCACTTCATGTTGATGATGATAATAATAATGAATGGAATACGTTTCTCTATCTCTTTTAATTTGTATATTAATATGGTACGAGATTATTCTATTTAAATCAATCTGATAAACATGTTTGATAAAAAGTAATTTAAAAGTAATCTGATTATATTACCCAATGTAATGGATTATGTTACTATCTACAATTTTTGTCCTGTAATTTGGAATCAGTAATCTATCCAGCACTGTTAGTATTACTATCTGAAATCACTCATTCTATTCGAACTGGTGGTCATTACAAAGCAAATACAGCAGATGGCAGAGCACACCAGAGAAAAGTTAGTGATTTTGTTCCTTTAGTTAGGCCTAATATCATGAAGCTGTTGTTATAATAAACAAAGCGTGAATGTTGTTTTCAAGCCCATTTTGTATACATTTGAATAAATTGATGTTACTGTATTCATGTTAAACCTACCGCTGTTTAACAACTATTTCAAACGTGTACAACACTGAAAATAATCCCATTTCATCTGAACACCTGTGTTCTTCCTCAGTGTCTAACAGGTGTTCTGCACACACTTTGCATCTCTCACCTCGTTTGCCTAAGTTAACCTGTTTGTGACCGATAGTGAAAACCCCTTTCTAGTTTTGTTAGGGAAAGTGATGTCGCGTCTGAAAGGTTAGGAACTCTTTATCATCAGTGGGCAAAACTTCTGTCTGGAGTTGGTGGGTATAGTTAGGGTTCACTGACTCGTACAGTGTGTTATTGAGGATTATGAATGTCAGAGCGGAGCAAACGTCACTGAGTCAGACGCTCAGTCTGCTTCACAACGTGGAACTTGTCAAGTTATCTTTTTGCAAAGAGAAGTTTAACAACAACAACAAGTGTATTTTGGTCATATTCAAATTAGGATGTGAAAATAGATACCACATGCTGATTACGTAACTGTTGATGCTATGGGGAAAAAAAGCTATTTGCATTCAGTCGCTGAACTGCACAATGAACGTCTTCAGCATTCGAAGTGTGGCGTCAAAGTGGCCAAGCCTAAATCAAAAAGTGTATTTTTAAACTTTCCTTTCAGTGAGTCATAAGCTTCATAACGTCAAATGATTTGATAGAGACCAGATAGAGTAGCTGCGTTATGCTACACAAGGGGTCTCTAAACTTGGGTCTACAATACTGACTGGATGCATTTACACATGCAAAACTGTCATTAATAACCTATTGCCTTATATCAAGATTTATTGCCATAGGCCTATATATGTTTACCAGTAAGGCAATATAGACTTTTCACATATGCAGCCTACATTCCCATGGTATATAAAGATATACATGATATTTAAAAAACCATATATAGCATCCCAATATTAAAACGTGTATATGTACATGTTAATAATAGGCTATCTATATGATGCTTTTATATAGCAATCATATGTCAATTTTATTTATATATATGCAACTTTATTAAAACATTATAGGCCTATATTTAAAGACAAGTTTTATGATGGATATGCATATACATGTCAAAAATATGTCAAGAAATGTATAATACATACACATATTTGTAAGGGCTAGACATATGTTAATATATGAAATTGTTCCAATTTAATATGTTTCACATATGCTTTTAATTCATATGACAATATAATTCAAATATTAAACAATATAGGAATAGTTGTTTTATTTGATTTGTTCATTATTATTATCATCGTCATTATTATTATTATTATTATTTTGTCAATACAATGAATGTCGATGAGATCCAGTGTTGTTTGAACCCCACTTTGACATTCAGAATACAGTATCTGCATTTGTGTTTTACATAAAAAAAAGACATTCAGGTCATTTTGGAATTAAATGAGGGTGAGTAAATAATTTTTACATTTTTTTAGGTGAGCTGTCCCCTTAACCAGAAATACTGATGCTCATTTCCTTTATATGAATAACATTTTGTCGATTAAAATTGCATGATGAGAGTGTCTATCGCCCAGTACTAGTTTTTACTAGTAATAGCAAATAGCAGTTTGTTTTTGCTAATACAATTATTTTAAGCAATTTTAAGAAATTAAACAATATAGGAATAGTTGTTTTATTTGATTTGTTCATTATTATTATCATCGTCATTATTATTATTATTATTATTATTTTGTCAATACAATGAATGTCGATGAGATCCAGTGTTGTTTGAACCCCACTTTGACATTCAGAATACAGTATCTGCATTTGTGTTTTACATAAAAAAAAGACATTCAGGTCATTTTGGAATTAAATGAGGGTGAGTAAATAATTTTTACATTTTTTTAGGTGAGCTGTCCCCTTAACCAGAAATACTGATGCTCATTTCCTTTATATGAATAACATTTTGTCGATTAAAATTGCATGATGAGAGTGTCTATCGCCCAGTACTAGTTTTTACTAGTAATAGCAAATAGCAGTTTGTTTTTGCTAATACAATTATTTTAAGCAATTTTAAGAAATTCGATTTCTACCATATATAGTAGAACCAATCTTCTTTTTCAACCCATCTGATGCTCAGCAAAACTCTCAGAATCTGACAGTAGGCCTGTGGTTAGCACATGTGTTGAACTGCGGTTCTTTCATGGGGATGCAGGTTCGAATCCAGCATACAGTGTGTTCCATAAAAAGGCCATAAATGTCCATAAATACAATAAAAAAAAGCCCCTGACAGCAGGTACTGTGTTCCCAGCTGAAACTGTGGCCCTCTGCTCGTAAAAAAAACACTAGACGAAACGGAGCGAGGTCCACACCTCTTTCCTCTCACTGTTTAGCAGATAGCAGTTAAAAATGCCGCCGCACGACTGATGAACGAGTGTACCTGCTTAAGTTTGGAATCACCCACAGGAAAAGGCCTAAAGTAACCCTAGTGCATAAAAATGAGACCCTGTGGAAACTCAAGCAAAACGGGAGATGATTTCCTCCAAGCTGAGGGAAAACTCTCAGGAGTCAAGGTCTAACCTCACAGCTGAGGACAAAGAAAGAGCTTTGGATTTCAGTCCGTGCCCCAGTTTTGCTAAGACAGTCCAATATGAAAACCCACGAGACGGTTCTCTCCCAGAATTAAAAAAAAGCATAGCTTCTCTCAAAGAGAGCATGTTTCTAGTTATGCACTAATATGCCTCCTCTGAAGACTACTTATGTCACCTGTGACAGAATCCATAATTCACTTTCCAGCCAAACGGATACGTTAGGTATCTTTTGGGTTGTCCTACAGAGACCGTAAAAATAGACCTTTCCAAGTCTTGTAAAGCTGCAGGTTGTGATTTAAAGGCCATCTTCCTCCAAACCCAGACTGGGTTTCACTGATCTGTGAGCTTTCTGTCTTTTTCACCGTCGTATTCTCACATCCATTGTCAGGATGTTCACTCCACACGCTACTGCAAATATCGACTCCAGGGACAAGAATAGGATACACCTTGTACAAACTCGGGAATCCTACCAGGTGCTGGGAGACTGGAAAGGCAAAACACATCCATCACAGAGCTCCGCTATTGGCAGGATTGAGCGCTGGCTCAAAGCACAGGCCAGTGTTTGTCTAGCTGGGGTTGAGATCTCCAACGCACTGGAGGAAACCATCATCATTTGGAGAAAACAATCCACATTTACTCATGTCGTTCCAAAGTCGTATGACTTTCCTTCTTCTGTAGAAAAAGAAATAAGTTTTGAAAAATGTTTGCCATTCTCTTAAGAGTAAACCCGTATCATAAAACCATAATCATAAAAGAAGTCTTCATGTGCTAAATCAGTGAATAAAGAAGAATCATGTGCTAAATCAGTGGTTCTCAACCTTTTTACTTGAAGGCACCCCATTGTCCAACACAGAATTTGAAAGCCCCTTATATCCATAGTTTTCAATCACATGACTGGCGTCCAGACCAGACCATTCAAATAACTGCAGCGCAGGCCTGTCAATTTTCCATCCGTTTCAAGCCAGGAATATTTAGATAATCTCTCAAAAGAAGAAAAACAAAGATAGGTGGACAAACTGCAAGTTTGTCTGCCATAGTATTTCAATCACTATAAACAGCAGGACAATCTAAGGGTGTACTCACACTAGGCCTTTTGAACCATGCCCAAGCGTGTTTGACCCCCAAAGCCCGGTTCATTTGACTAGTGTGATTGCTCCATTCGTTTAGCCGTCCCTGGCTCGGTTGGAAGAGTTCAGTTGGGCTCCGGAGCACGGAACAGCTACTATTTTGTGTGTGCTACTGTCCTAATTACGACTGCAAAAAT